CCAACTGGAGATGATATCGCTGTGACATTCCTGCCAGCGGCCACTATGAAATCCTGCGTAGCCTGTATGCTACAGCACAGGGTCACACAAGTAAACACCACTATTCCCTAGACCAAGAGTGCTTCCATATGGAGGTCAAGAGTGATAACAGTTCTGTAAACCAAACTGATTGCACTAGAATGATATAAAATTATTGCATTAGAAACTGGGTTAATTAAAGTTTAACTGTAGTAAAAAAAAAAAAGTATTTTTGATTCAGCTATTACGTAAACAGGACAGACAAGCTCCCCTAAATAACAACATTTCTAGCAAAAGAACAATGGACTGCTTTAAAAAGGACTTTTCCCAGTTTGCTTCCACACTTCTTTGGCTCCTTTAATGCTTTCTCTTTTCACACACTTCCAGTAACCTTGAATGCCTTGCTGTTGTGGTACCTGTTAATAAAGTTAAAGTATGTTTAGTATTTACGCAAAAAAGACTCTTATTCAGAGACTGTGTAAATATAATACGGAATGCAGGGCTGCTGCTTCCCTAGTTCACTTGCATAATAACAAGTTCTTGGTGGCAGCACTCCTCCCAGATTCGTAAGCAGTAGGGACTATTCAGTTTAAAATATAAATATAACCACTTTCTATTCACTGTCCCTACTCGTGTTTCTACAAGCATTAAAAAGATAGTTGTAGCAATCATCTGTGGTATTTAAAAACAATGATGGGAGCTTGTTACCCTCAAACCTCGATGAATTCGGTTCCTCAGGACTCCAAGAAACTCGCTGTGGCTGAGGCAGTCATCTCCATCCAGATCAAAAATCTTGAAGATGGTGTCCAAAACATTATCTGAGAGCTCCTGTCCTGTTGCCACCTTCACTGCTCTCTTGAACTCAGCTAGTAAAGACATAATATTACATCATAGGTGACTGTGAACTTGCAAAGACATTGGAATGCACATAAATAGCAGGGTTCTGTAAACTTTACGATGTCTCACGGGTATCCTAACTGGAGCATTTGGGATGTGTGAACTAGTAAACTATTAGGAAGCCTCAGTTCATGTGTTCTTGAGCTTGCGTCATCTTTCATAACACTACCTTTATTAATTGTATGATAAACTTTTGAAATGCTCTACTTCTCAAGCAACAGTAAGCGATCATTTTTGCTAGAAATAGCTGCATGCTGAAAACTTACGTTCTTTTGGCTGATACCTGTGCATATGGATGATGTTTGCCTCACTACGGTCTCATAAAAAATACTACCACTTTATCTCAAACCAGTTTCATGCCAATTCATTCTGCTGGAAAACTTCTCCTCAGAGAACAGTATTTTACGATATGCGCCACCTCAACCAGCAACGCCCTCAGCAACTCTGCACAAACACGGACCATCAAATAGTCAATGCGCTGTTTACAGCACATGGCTTTATGTACCTGTAGTGCTGTCTTTTAAAGGAGTAGGGTACCTTCTCTTAAATTATGATTGAAGAGTTTATGAGGATTTATGGCAGAAAAAGCCGTCACACCTCTCTGGAGATCTACCTTACTCTTCAGCTTTTTGGCCTTCTCTCTTTACATGCCATGTGCATTACAGTTATACCTACTCTCCCCACTTTTGGTCTTGTGGTGTAAAGAATTTGAAGTTTTGACTCCAAGAAGATGAGGAACTGCATGGGGTTGCCATAAAACAGCAGACAGTATGAGTGAAATGATTATTGTTTATTGTAGCAAGCACAATCACATCACAACACATGAATTGGATGCATTTTCGAAGGCATTGCGGAAGTGTGAATTTCAAGGAGGGACTGGAGGTTATTAAAGTATAGAAGTATTGTAGATTATTACAGCAAGTTGTCCAACTAAGTCATGAATATAGTAATAACGTGGTTCTGCTTTCATAAACAAGTGCTGTTTATACCCAGCGCTATAAATGTGATTAGTTCCGAAGCTTACTAGAGGAAAGAGCACTCCTGGCTTAGCTCTCATCTTTGCCTCTTTGAACAACTCCTGTATAAATGCAGGTGATTAATTTACAGTTGGTTTAAATATAATTAAGTTGAAAATCCTTTTGTAAAAGGCTATACCACAATTTGAAAAGGACATGAAAAATGGGATGCTTATAGTAAAGTCTTAATGTTGTCTTTAAAAAGATGTTAACTGTTTCAGCTCTTGAAGCTAAATATAAATGCAGAGACGGCACTGCACTTTTTCGAACAGAACATGAAGAAAAGGAGAAAAGATCTTCTAAAATGGTGGAGCATAATAATCTTCAAACCAAGAACGGCCACCTTATCAGAGAGAAAAGATGAGCTGCCATCTTAGAAGAAAAAAAGTCTAGAATAAAAGGAAGGATTAAAAGACTGTCTTATTTTTAGATAAATATTCGTATGTGTGTGAATACACACACGTACACACACGCAAACAGCAAAAGAACTCGGTGAGATTCAGGAAAGGATTAGACAGGTATAGATGTAACATCCGTGAGCGACCTCAGGAGCCGACTGTTTCTGATCACAGCGTGGTTCAGTGCATAAAGAGAGCCACAACTGCCTTGGTTAGGAATGAGTTTTTCCAAGGAAACCTTTCCAGAGTCAACCCCAACTGCTGGCCTCATCATCCTTTGGCACTTAAAAATGGGATACTTAATAGAGAAGTGAGCTGAACTCTGGGATCTCACTTATGACTATTATTTCACCATTAATTCATCCTCTTTCCTCTCCACTCTTTGTATACACCTTGTGCAAATAAAATCTGTCTCCCCCGACAAAGACAGGTCTTGTCAAACCAGACAGAGGAGGCCACAAACCCAGCTGGGAACTGGAGCACGTGATGGGAGAAGAGAAGCTGAGGGAGCTGGGGAGAACTGAAGTGTAAGGGGGGAGAGGCTGTGGAAATGAAACTCTTCCAGAAGGCTGGACTAACTAGTGATGGAAGTCACAAGTTGTAAACCCGCGCAGTTTTGGCCTTCTTCGGTTCAAATGCCATCCAAACATTTCTCTCTCAAGAATACTGAGCTCTCTTCCTGTCTTCTCACATCTCTCTCACCTTTGAGCCCACCAAATATTTATTTCAATGAATGTTAATGTCTCATCAAATTTCCTTAGGAACTTTTTGTGTTGCTATTTTCAAATAACTTATGAGAGCTGTTCTTCAAGTATAACAAGTAAGTAATGACCTCAGGATTATAACAAAAAGCATTTGTATGTTCAAGAAACTTTTGTTGCATTGCTCCTATTTCTACTATATGGGAAGGAAGCAACTTCCCTCCTCCAAATCTTTATTTTAAAAACTACTTTACTACATTGTTTGTTTCTCATAGCCATAATTGTGTAACACTACATGGAGAAGGCAGTATGGAGGAATAAATAAAACACAACATGATGCTACAGACCCTGCAAAAGAAAAGATTTCTATTGTTTCGTTTCCTCAGAAAAGTTTTCTCATAGTTTCACTATCAGGAAAAAGCTTTGTTATCATGAACTGCTACGAAAGTATGTATTGTTTCAATAAATCCTTCCTGATCTAGAACTTAGACTGGACTGAGAGCAGCCCTGAGGAGGACTTGGGGGTGCTGGTTGATGAGAAGCTCACCAGGACCCAGCAATGTGCGCTGGCAGCCCAGAAAGCCAACCGTACCCTGGGCTGCATCCAAAGCAGCGTGGCCAGCAGGTCGAGGGAGGGGATTCTGCCCCTCTGCTCCGCTCTGGTGAGACCCCCCTGCAGTACTGCCTTCAGCTCTGGGGTCCTCAGCACAAGAAGGACATGGACCTGTTGGAGTGAGTCCAGAGGAGGCCACGAAGATGATCCGAGGGCTGGAGCACCTCTGCTGTGAGGACAGGCTGAGAGAGCTGGGGTTGTTCAGCCTGGAGAAGAGAAGGCTCTGGGCAGACCTTAGAGCAGCCTTCCAGTACCTAAAGGGGCCGACAAGAAAGCTGGGGAGGGACTTTTTACTAAGGCCTCTAGTGACAGGACAAGGCAAAAGGGTTTCAAACTGTAAGAGAGTAGATTTAGACTGGACAAAATAAAGAAACTTTTTACGATGAGGGTGGTGGGACACTGGCACAGGTTGTCCAGAGAGGTTGTGGATGCCTGTCCTGGTTCCGGCTGGGATAGAGTTAATTTTCTGCTTAGCAGCTGGCACAGTGTGTTTTGGATTTAGCGGGAGAATAACACTGATACCACACTGATGTTTTAGTTGTTCTCAGTAGCCCTTACCCTCAGTCAAGGACTTCTCGCTGCCAACGAGGAGGTGCACAAGGAGCTGGGAGGAAGCACAGCCAGGACAGCTGACCCAAACTACCCAAAGGGATATTCCATACCATAGTGCGTCATGGTCAGTACAGAAACTGGGGGGAGTTGGCCAGGAGGTGCCAATCGCTGCTCGGGGACTGGGCATCGGTCAGTGGGTGGTGAGCAATTGTGTTGTGCATCACTTGTCTTTTCTTGTTGGTTTTGGTTTTTTGTTATATTCCTTCTCATAATAACAATAAAAACAACAACAATAATAATATTTTTATTACTATTGTTAGTATTATATTTTATTTTACTTTAGGTATTAAACTGTTCTTATCTCAACCCACGAGATTTTACTTCTTTTTCGGTTCCCTTCCCCATCTCACTAGGAGGGGGGAGGAGTGAGCGAGCAGCTGGGGTTAAACCACGACAATGCCCCATCCCTGGGAGTGTTCAAGGCCAGGCTGGATGGGGCTTTGAGCAACCTGGGCTGGTGGGAGGTGTCCCTGCCCATGGCAGGGGGTTGGAACTGGATGAGCTTTAAGGTCCCTTCCAACCAAACCATTCTGTGGTTCTATGGTTTAGTCTGCTGTGAGCGGTCCAGCATATGACAGCATGTTAGAACCTACAAGTTGAAACATTTTGGGAACTATTTGGGAAATTATTATTTTTTCATGAAATAGAATTACTTCAGAATAAAGAGCAGTATACTGTTCTTGGACTTCACAGTGCCACTTTGGGATAACTTACATTAATTTCGTAACAAAAATGTTTGCTTGTTTGTTTTAAAAATACATATGAGAGGTGTGCGGCACTTACCCCGTTTAACAGGACGATTGGCTACAGTAAACATCTGCATAGCGATAGAAAAGTCTTCCAGGTCATTTGTAAACTTGCAAAAAGTCTTGAATTCTTCCAAACTGATATTCTAGAGTATCACAGAATTCAGATGATATATAATGAATAATACATTCAAACTCCGGTAAATCTATTTCATTAAATCTAGTGGGACCTAGTGTTTAGGTGTGATTGCCTACTCATCGTCAATATTCATATTTCTCAGTTGGCAAATTATCCTTGTTTTTATTTGCACAAAATTCACAGCCTGCAGTCATTCCCTTGGAAACTAGTTACATGATTAGATACTCATACTCAAATGAAAACCTGTGCATACAAATGAGGAAGGACAACAAAGCATGCTTTAGGTACCGACCTCTCCTGCCTCAATTCTGTCCTTCACGTTCTGCCAGTAGATTTCATTGTTTTCCTCATCAGTGAAGTACAGTAGCCATTCCGCAAAGTCTTCTTTTCTCATGACGTTCAAACCCTTTGAAAACTTTATGAATTCCATTTCTTGGACTTCTGTTTGCAGATCTTCCATGAATCTAAGTGTAAACAGATATTATCCAACAGTTGATACCCGCATCACTGTATCGCTACGACTACTACCTTGGCTACTACTACTACAGCAGACACTAACTCTTCAGCCCAGATACTATCGCCATCATTGTCGGAAATGCCACTGGTTTCATTTTACGGGTGCGCGCAGGTTGGTTTTCAGGACTGCACTGCAGGAAGGACACCAGCAGAGCGCTCTCCAAGGCTGCACCGGTGGTGGCTGCTGCTAAGAGCATCTACCCATATGCTGGGCAGCTAGTTTTCACCTATTTTAAAATAAAAAGTTCAAAAATGTGCAGGTAATGAGAGAAAATAACTGGTAAGGCGGTATTATACTGAATGAATGAAAAAGGACACGGTTAACTAAAGGCCTGACACATGATTTATGCCATTTCATGTTAATAAGAGGAATGAGAAGGTTGGCAAGTGCCTAGAAAGAGGAGGCCCTAATAATCACAAAGGTGAAAGAAAAGAGGAAACTTGAAATCATCGCTGCAGGAAAAGATGACTAAAAACCTCCAAGACTGTTAACTGCAAAGAGAGGTTTGGCAAATCAGTTCTGCGCTCACTAGAGGATGGATTAGAGAGGATTACAACTGACATGTACGGAGTTCGGAAGAGGGCAGAAAATGA